AAAAAAAAAAAAAAAAAAAAAAAAAAAGGAAAAGCAAAAAGAATCCGAAAGGAAGGAACAGTAGAAAGGAATGGCACCAAACCAGACTGAAGCCTAGCAGGCCAAACACTTCATCCCTCAGCTCTGCGTCTAGCTCCCGGGGTAGGCTGTGGTGAGATCCTCAATGCTGAGACAGCTGCCTTCCCGTCTGCCGGCTGCTCCCGATCACACAGTGGGATGAGTGAGCTCACTCCCGACACCACTGCAAGGGCGTTTAACATGAACGCCGGCTCGCGGCAGCTGGGCTCCTCGGGTTCTCTCTGGTGACCTCTGTGCCCACTGCCCGCAGAGCTCCTGCCACATTCCTGTGCAGCCTGCCAGCCACAGAAGATGTCCTGCGGCCACCACAGGGCCCATGGGTGATGCCATCTCTTAATGAGGTGCCCCCAGGCACCTCTGGGTGCCTCCCTGGGTCTCTGCAACCTGCCCCACCGCCCCAGCCCAGCTAGGCTCTGGGCACCCAAGGCTCCAACTCCCGGTGCGGTCACCTCTCGGGCCACTTCAGCTGCTGGGGCCTGTGCGTGCCTAAACTGGGGTTCTGCGGGGAGCGTCAGGTCCCCGGTGCCCAGCATGGCTCTGTGAGGGCTCCTGTGAGCCCGGAGTTCCCACCCTTCCTCCACACCTCAACCAGGAGGTAGTGTGCAGCTAGGGAGGGGTCTCGTCCTCTCAGCCCCGGGCTCCAGCCACTCTGCACCCCAGGGCACCCAGCCCACGGTAGCCTCCATGCGTGTGACCTCACCCCCACTTTCACCCTGGCCCCAAAGGCCAAGCCTGTGCTGACTTTCACCAGCGCCGCTCAACTGCTTTTTTCGTTCATTTTATTCATTTATTTATTGGCTTACTTGCTTTCGGTACTGGGGATGGAACCCAGGGCCTTCGCACCGACCTGCATCCCCAGCCCTTTTTGTATTTTTTGAGACGAGGTATCACTAAGTTGCTGAGTTGCCAGGCTGGCCCTTGAGCTTGCGATCCTCCTGCCTCAGCCTCCCACTGTGCTAGATGGGCCCTCCGGGTCCCCTCCGCACCCAGAGCTTCCTTCCTCTGCCGCCCCGGGGCTTTCTCGGCTGCCCCGGCCCAGAAACAACCCACAGCAGCCGGTCAGCCGCGGGAGGGGCCGGGGCGCGCGGTCTGCTGC